CTGAAAATTTTTTCTTAGCTCCTTAATTGCAGGCCTGCTAATGGTATAACATTTTTTAACTTAAGTAAGTTTAACATGACTATGATTATAACCAATGCCTAGTTTGAGTTGGAATGGAAACGACGCTGCCTAGAGTGTAATAATGAGCGCCACCACATCTTGTCTATTTGTTGTAGAGCTTTATTAAGGTACTTCATAAAAGGCAGAATTAGTGGAAAGTGAAAGCGCGAATATTGATTCGGCAGGGACATGTTTACTTCCTAATTTTAGTGATTTGTTAGGTCTTCTAACTTGTATATATGTAATATCAATGCCTTGATAAAATCTTGACATGCCTTTTTAAATTTTCGTCTTTACTAATAACTTCAAGGTAAAATTTGATCCTCGCAGTGCGGGAATAAACTAATTTCAAAGCTGCTAGTGGTTTCGATGCGTTATTTCCAGTTACTTCTATCACTGAAAACACCACTCCAAAGTTGGGCTCAAGCCTTAAGGTAACAAAGGTTACATTACACAAACAAAATCAAGAGCAAATTAAATTCAACAACTAAAAACACATCTTAGAATGTTATCTAAATTTAAACATTCTAAAATCTATAAATCTTATAAACGGACTTTTAGCCTTACATGCCAGTCCAACTCAAATGGGTATAAAGATTTTACATGCAAATTAGTTTAGTAGGAACAGGTATGATAACAGTTTTTGTTTACCATGGACAGGAAATTGGTGCTCACATACAAAACAGCAACAGTGGGCACAGATTGACTATCAAGAGTGTAAGGGGTCATTTAATGCAGGCCCTGACATTCATGGGAATATCACATGTAGTTTATGTAAGATAAATAATATTTTCCTCTAAAACAAATACAAGGCTGCTCCTGCCTTCTTCAGTAAGGCACCAGTGGTACTTTTCCTTCTTCTTCAGGATTGGTTATTATGCATATTAGGTAGCCTGGCCAGGCACGCCTTAGCACCAGGAGGAATGTCAGGTTACATGGACGGGCCAATAGAAGAGGGTATTTACTGAACTTTAAATCAGTGACTAAGCAGTACTAATACAACTGCAATACCTTCAGAGTCCACTGAAGCCATTCAAAGGCTGTCCCTTCTGCTAATCAACTTTCAAATCGTTTCTATTTAAAGAGGTTCGTTAGTTCGAATTTTTTTAAAATTGAAGGTTTTGTTCATCTCTTTCACAGGATTTTGGTCAAGGCTGGTCACTTCCACCTACGTGTCATGTGGCATTATCATTATTATTTACCACCAATTTTCACTATTAACTCGGGTACCAAGGCTTGTCAAGCAAAACGGTGGCCCTCATGCACTCCACTGAATTGCAGGAAAAGTAAGGCTGGAATACATGCTTATAGCATTATTTTTTTGGACTGGCTCAGAAGGTCTTTTTTTCGCTTTTCTCTGCCTGGTTCTGAGGGTGCTTCAATCTAGATTAACATTAGCGATATTTACTGTGGAACTTGGTTACAAAGACATGGAAATTAAGAGGACTAATTATTGTTTTCCACACTAAAACTTCGGCAAGGGACCCAGTTTTTCCATTCCCAATGTTTTTAAGAATAACCCATTTAGCTTCAATAATGTAAAAAATAATTATTAAATTGGATAATTCTTGTCGATACCAACTAATCAGGAGTCAAAGGGCCAAGGAGGAAAAAAAAGCACTCAAGGCCAATAACATACTTTAAAGAATATAATTTTTCTGGGGAGCACCTACTTTTCTTGAAAAACTGCCTATTTATAAACCTAAAACCAGGTTTTATCTAATAGGATACTGAACAAACCTGCTTGCAACTCTAAGACTAGGTTTTACCCACCACAGTCAGGTAAACCCAATTTCAGAGGCTTTCCAACTTCACCAAATTGACTAGTGCCAAAGAAACTTTCTGGAAACAACAATACGGTAACATTTTTCCTTTTTATATTAACTCCCAAAACTTTCTCTTCGTTGTTCAGAATACCAAAGACCACCCAGTCTGTTGTATTATGCCCCAATTTTAAATTCTTGCTTCCCAAATAAAACATTTTCAATTTTAATGATCTGTCTTATTTGTACTTGACTTTCAAACAGGATATTATTGAAGAAAGCATTAGCATATGTTGATTTACATCAGTAGATATTTTTAATTGGCTTAGTAAACAATAAATCTGAAATGGCCGATGTTAAAAGTCACGTAAAAGGTGACTGGCCCTCTTTATTTCATGACGGGAAAATGGTATTAAAATGAGGTAAGAAATGGCTCTTACTTAGTATCCTCCCCCATGTTGAAAGTTATAGTCTTTTCAGGCCACGGTTTGTGGTTTGGCTCACGCGCTTATAAGTCCAGCAACTTTCGGAGGGCTGAGGGCGGGCAGATCATGAGGTGAGGAGATCGAGGACCTCCTGGCTTAACATGGTGAATCCTCGGTCTTATATTATTAATATATAATAATAGACGGGTTTGTTTTCTGGTGGCGTGGCGTGCACGTCTACTGTGAGGCTATGTCCCTGGAGTAATGCCGTGATACTCCTCGGTGTGGTCAGAGCGCAGTGAAGTCGCTGTAGGGCCATCTGCATCTCCCGCTGTGTTGACATGTGCTAGATACCCCATCAAAAATAAAAATAAAAAATAAAATGTATATCTCCCTCCCCTGATTCTCCCCAATGTTGCCATAATATAAAAATGACCATATGTACAGGCTAGGCATCCTGCCCCCATCGCGAATTCTGCAACTTGGTTGGAGTTGGCGGGGACGCGAGGCAGAATGAGCATCCCTGGCTACACTGGTGTGTTTGTATTGTATGATGGGTTGCCTGTAGCCCACCCCCCCCCCGGGGTGGAGGGTGTTCCATTGACTTAGCTTGATTTTTCTATTTTTAGTAGAGACGGCCGTGACGGATGGTCTCATTCCCTCTGGACGATCCAGCCGGCTTCGGGCCTCGCCCAAAGGTGCTGGGATTTACAGGCGTTGGAGGCACCAGGTGCCTGGGCCCTGTTTTGGTAATTTTTAATGCAAACTGGTGGGAGAATTTTTTCTGAAAGATGTAAACTTTTTTTTTTTTTTTGGGATGGAGTCTCGCTCTGGCTCACCAAGGGCTGCGAGTGCAGTGGCCAGTCTCGGGCGTTCACTGGCAAGCTCTGGCCTCCCGGTTTCACGGCCATTTGCTCCTGCCTGTTAGCCTCCGGAGTAGCGGACTTCCAGGCACCCGCCCCAGCCACGGCCCGTCTATTTTTTTTCTGATTTTAGTTAGAGCGGGATTTCACCATGTTAGCCAGGATGGTCTCGATCTCCTCACCTCATGATCTGCCCGCCTCAGCCTCCGAAAGTGCTGGGATTATAGGCGTGAGCCACCACACCTGGCCTGAAAGATATAACTTTCAAATGGGGGAGGATACTAGTAAAGCCATTTCTTACTCATTTATACATTTTTCCCTCCATGAAATTAGAGCAGTCACCTTTTACGTGACTTTTACATGCATTTCAGATTTTTGTACTAGCAATTAAAATATCTACTGGATGTAAATCACATATGCTTAATGCTTTGCTTCATAATATCTGTTGAAGTCAAGTAAAATATAGAGACAGATCATTAAATTGAAAATGTTTTATTTGGGAAGCAAGAATTAAATTTGGGGCATATACACAGACTGGGTGGTCTTTGGTATCTCTGAACAACGAAGAGAAGTTTGGAGGTTATATAAAAAGGAAAATGTTACGTATTGTTTTTCCAGAAAGTTCTTTGGCACTAGTAAATTTTGGTGAGTTGGAAGCTCTGAATTGGTTAGTGACTGTGGTGGGTAAAACTAGTCTTAGAGTTGCAGCAGGTTGTTTCAGTATCTATTAGATAAAACTGGTTTTAGGTTATAATAGGCAGTTTCAGAAAGTAGGCTCCCAGAAAATTATATTCTTAAAGTAATGTTATGTGCCTTGAGTGCTTTTTTTCTCTTGGCCCTTGACTCTGATTTAGTTGGGTATGACAAGAATTATCAATTTATATAATTATTTTTTACATATTGAAGCTAAATGGGTTTTCTTAAAACTTGGGAATGGGAAAAACTGGGTCTTGCGAAGTTTTAGTGTGAAAACAATAATTAGTCTCTTATTTCATGTTCTTTGTAACAAGTCCACAGTAATATCTAATGTATCTAGATGACACCTCAGAACCAGGAGAGAAGGAAAAAGACCTCTGAGCAGTCAAAATAATGCTATAAGCATGTATTCCAGCTTACTTTCTGCATTTCCAGTGGAGTGCATGAGGCCACGTTTTGCTTGACAAGCTTGGGTACTGAGTTAAAGTGAAAATGGTGTAAATAACTAATGATATGCACATGACAGTAGGTGGAAGTGACAGCTGACAATCTGTGAAAGAGTGAACAAAACTATAAAAATTCGAACTAAGAACTCTTAAAATAGAACGATTTGAAGTTTATTACAGAAGGGAGCAGCTTTATGCTTCAGTGGACTCTGAAGGTATTGGCAGTGTATAGTACTGCTTAGTCACTGATTTAAATTCAGTATATATCTCTTCTATTGCTGTCATGTACTTGACATTCTCCTGGGTGCTAAGGCTGTCTGCAGGCTACTAATATGCATAATAACAATCCTGAAGAAGAAGGAAAAGTACACTGTGCCTTACTGAAGAAGGCAGGACAGCCTTGGTATTTGTTAGAGTAAATATTAGTTATCTTACATAACACATGTTATATTCCCTGATGTCAGGGCCTGATAAATGAGCCCTTACACTCTTGATAGTCAATCTGTGCCACTGTTGCTGTTTTGTATGTGACACCATTTCCTGTCCATGTAACAAACTGTATCACATACCTGTTCCTACTAAACTATTTGCATGTAATTTTAACATTTGAGTGGCTGCATGTAAGGCTAAAAGTTCTTTATAAGATTTATAGAATTTTAGAATGTTTAAATTAGATAACATTAGTGTGTTTTTAGTTTTTGAATTTAATTTTGCTCTTGATTTTGTTTGTGTTAATGTAGACTTTGTCTACTTAAGCTTGAGCCCAACTTTGGAGTGGTGTTTTCAGTGATAGAAGTAACTGGAAATAACGCATGAAACCACTTAGCACTTTTGATAGTTTATTCCCCTGAAGGATCAAATTTTTACTTGAGTCATTAGTATAAAATTTTAAAAGGCATGTCAGATTTTATTAAGCATTGATATTAAATATATAAATATTAGAAGACCTAAACAAAATCACTAATTAAGGAGTAAAACATGTCCCTGCCTATCATATTCCCTTCACTTCCACTAATTTCTGCTTTTATGAAGTACTTTAATAAGCTCTACAACAAATAGACAAGATGTTGTGCCTCATTTTACACTCTAGCAGTCGTTTTCCATTCCAACTAACTAGGTTGGGTTATAATATAGTCATTTAAACTTACTTAGTTAAAATGTTATACATTAGCAGCTGCAATTAAGGAGCTAAGAAATTCAGCTCATATTTATTTATATGCATCCTATCCATATTTTCTCACTTGTTATATTTGCCTACTGATGGGAAATTGATTTTTTCTGTTCCAAAAATGTAGAGTTTCGAGATTTTTGGAGATGCAATACAGCATCATTTTCAAATTAGAGCACAAACACTCTTACTTGTTCCAGTTGGGACTAGTAATTGATCAGTGAAGTGAAACAATTAGGCAAAACGGGATCATCAAATTTTCTTTCTTTTTTGAGATGGAATATTGCTCTTGTTGCCCAGGCTGGAGTGCAGTGGCACTACCTCAGTTCACTGGGACCTCTGCCTACGGGATTCAAGTGGTTCTCCTGCCTCAGCCTCCTGAGTAGTTGAGATTACAGGCACGTGCCACCACGTCCGGCTAATTTTTGTATTTTTAGTAGAGACAGGGTTTTGTCATGTTGGCAAGACTGGTCTCGAACTGCTGACCTCAAGTGATTTACCCGCCTCAGCCTCCCAAAGTGCTGGGATTACAGGCATGAGCCACTGTGCCCGCCCCAAATTTTCTTTTAACTTAAAATGTTAATGTTTGTTTGTTCCCGATCTTTTTGTATATGTCAAGGCTTTTTCGTTATATACAGGCCAGCTCTTTGGAGTTCTGCATGGTGTTTCTTGTTTAAACCACACCTATAGTGTACCATCTACAATTTCCAATTCTTTAAGACAGAGTGAAAAATTAAGATACTTGAAGTAATCTTAGTGTAGAGTCCTAGGCATTATGATTTTCCTTGAGACTTTTAGGGTTCTTTTATCATAGTTTATCAAACACCTTTTTTTTTTTTTTAACAAAAAAGAAATTTACAGAATCTTTCTGTATATTCAACTTAGAATTTAATGAAATAGGTGTTTTTTTGTTTTTTTTTTTTGGTGATCATGTATCATCAACTTACTTTACATTAATTAAATTAATCCAATTAATCAACAAAAAAATCTATAGTTGGCATAAACAAATTTGGGATCAAGCACTACTGACTCTTAGTAAACATACAAGTCAACTGTTGGTACAGAAGTGCCTCGATGCTAGAGAGTAGCCTGTAAGCTGTAATTATATGTGGGCATTAGGGAATGAAGAACAGTCTTAATACTATTGATCTTTTAAGTGAAGGTCAACTTAGAAAGCTTTTACTTATTAAAATGCTTCACAATTTGTCCTTATAGTTAATGCAATTAAAGTTCAATTAATCTTTCTATTTTTTTTAGAGTTTCTATCTTACTAAAGGATATTTCAGAAAATCTGTATTCACTGAGGAAGATGATAATTGGGTCTACTAACATTGAGACCGAACTGAGGCCTAGCAATAATTTAAACTTACTATCCTTTGAAGATTCAACTACTGGGGGAGTACAACAGAAACAAATTGGAGAACATAAAATTTTTATTAATGTTGAAGATGAAACATGGGACCCGACACTTGATCATTTAGCTAAACATGGTGGAGAAGATGTACTTGGAAATAAAGTGGAACGAAAAGAAGATGGATTTGAAGAAGGAGTAGAAGACAATAAATTGAAAGAGAATATGGAAAGAGCTTGTTTGATGTCGTTAGATATTACAGAACATGAACTCCAAATTTTGGAACAGCAGGCTCAGGAAAAATATCTTAGTGATATTGCTTATAAATCTACTGAGGTACTAAATAAAGAGGAAACACATTTTTAGTTATTAGTAGGGTCTGGCTGACTTTATTCCTGTAAAGGGACAGATAGTAAATATTTTAGGCTTTGTGGGACATTCAGTCTCTGTTGCAGTTACTCAGTTCTGCTATTGTAGTGTGAAAGCAGCCACAGACAAATGTAAACAATTGTGCCTGTCTGTGTTTCAATGAAACTTTATCTATAAAAACAGATAGTGGGCCATATTTGGCTTGTGAGCCATAGTTTGCTGCTCCTGACTTAGTATGATGTGCAACATTGTGTAGTGGAAAGATTTTATAGTGTCAACAGACATTTGTAGTAGTTCACTATTTTATAATTTCGTATGCTTTTTTCATAATATCTTTGCTTTTTGTGGATTCTCTTCATATCTACTAGTGTTTACTCTTCTGACTTTGATTTTTGGGGGTGTATTTTATTTCTTTATACAGACTTTTTTTCTTTTTTCTTTTTTTTTTTTGAGACAGGGTCTTGCTCTGTCACCCCAGCTGGAGTGCAGTGGTGCGATCTTGGCTCCCTGCAGCCTTCAGCTCCTGGGCTTAAGTGATCCTTTCACCTCAGCCTCCCTAGTACCAGGGAACACAGGCCTGGGCCACTACACTCAGCTGATTTTTGTAATTTTTTGTAGAGATGGGGTTTCGCTCTGTTGCCCAGACTGGTCTCCAACTCCTGGACTCAAGTGATCCACCTTCCTTGACCTCCCAAAGTGTTGGGATTATAAGTGTGGGTCACTGTGCCTGGTCCAGAATTTCTTTACTTGCTCATGTAAGAGGGTTTCTAATAAACTCCTGATGCTTTTGCTTGACACTATAGTTTTACTGTCATCTCAGAGTCAGATTTTTTTCCCTTAACTTCTTCATTAAATTAATTTCTTAATTTCTCATTTGTTTTTCATTAGTTTACAAAATTACTTAAGTTGCCTATATTCTCTGAAATTTTATATTTTATTTCACGATAAATAAGTTTTTTAAAAAATTAGATTTGAGGCCAGGCGCAGTGGCTTACGCCTGTAATCCCAGCACTTTGGGAGGCCAAGGTGGGCGGATCACAAGGTCAGGAGCTCGAGACCATCCTGGCTCACACGGTGAAACCCCATCTCTACTAAAAATCCAAAAAAATTAGCCGGACGTAGTGGTGCGCGCCTGTAGCCCCAGCTACTCAGGAGGCTGAGGCAGGAGAATGGTGTGAACCCAAGAGGCGGAGCTTGCAGTGAGCTGAGATTGCACCACTGCACCCCAGCCTGGGCGAAAGAGCAAGACTCTGTCTCAAAAAAAAAAAAAAAAAAAGGTTAGATTTGACCATTTAATTAGAGTTATTTCACCATCATTTTTCTAATGGCAACAATAATTTTAGTATTTGAGCAATTATCTGTATTTTGGTAACTATTAGTAATCACTTCCATCAGTATATACATGCATTTCATTTTAAAATGATTTTCAAAATATTCTCATACCAACCTTTCATAAAGGATGTTCCCCTTCTGGGAAATATCAGTTTTTGCTAACATCTGCATTTCCCTTTGATATTCTAGGAATTTTTATTAGGTATATACTTTAAGTGATATGTTTCATATAGTATAGAATTACCAGGATTTCATGATTTTTTTTTTTTTTTTTGAGATGGAATCTAGCTCTGTCGCCCAAGCTGGAGTGCAGTGGCACAATCTCAGCTCACTGAAACCTCCGCCTCCCTAATTCAAGTGATTCTCCTACCTCAGCCTCCCAAGTAGCTGGGATTATAGGTACCCGCCACCACACCTGGCTAATTTTTGTATTTTTAGTAGAGACGGAGTTTCACCATGTTGGCCATGCTGATCTCAAACTCCTGACCTCAAGTGATCCGCCTGCCTTGGCCTCCCAAAGTGCTGGGATTACAGGTGTGAGTCACTGCACCTGGCCTTAGATTTTGTGATTTGGCTGACATCTTTTACACCAATTATTGCCATTTTTTATTGGGTACCAATTATTAGTATTGTTTTCTTTATTCATTAAATAAGAAGTAAAAGAACTTTTAAAAAATAGAACTTTTTTTCCTAGTAAAAAGCTTATTTTCAATTTTTTTTATTGCTTACATTTTGCAGGTTAATAAAGGCTGTACTTCTTTTTCCTACTTCCTGTTTAAATATTTGGCATTTTTTGAGGGTTTCCTTTCTATGGATTTTTGTCGCGGAATCCCATCTTGTTGGACGCTTAGTTCCTGGAGATTGCCAAATTATTGAAAAGTTTCCTCATACCCAAACATTGGCAATAGACTGAATAAATAACATCTCTGACACTACTTTTCAATGTATAGAGAACGCTAATGGGTAAAATACTGATTTATTTAAAGATATAGTTACAATCCATAGAGTAATTTTTGCCATCTTTTTAAATCAGTGGATGTCAAAGAACTACTATTTTCTTTGTACGGCATTTTTCAAACGTTGTGAAGATTCTTCATACTCAAAAAGTTTGGGAGACAAGTTTTGACATTGTACAACCTGAGTTGAACATTGTGATTTTGTTAATTCGCTTGTTTTACCGAGGCAGGGATGTCTTTATTTGTCCCTCTTTATCTATCTTTGTATTCCTAACATAGTATTCTTTTCTTTCTCTTTTGGTTCTCTTTCTTGTCTCATTCTTCCTCTCTTCTTTTTTTATCTTATTCATCCATAAACATGGTAATATGATAATGTATATTATCATTAGGGAAGAAGGAAGTTGCTCCTAAAGAGTATCTAGTACCATAGACAGGTCTTTAATTCTGCAGAAAAGAGGATATGAAGTCCAATTTATACTGGAATTAAATGCTGAATCACTTTTTTTTAAAGCATTTATTCCACACTAAAATAATGAAAAACGATACATCCTATGTAATTGGAGTGGATGAAGATTTAGACAATGGAGATGCTTAGAGGTATGTTTTCACAATTACAAAACATTACTCAAGTTCTTTCCAAGCACATTTAATTAAGTAAAATATTAACTAATTCTAAACCAGGTTCCACCACAATAAAATTGCTAGTAATTACGTAACATTAGATTTCACATTTTCCAATTCATTTTTCTTTTACGTAGTCTATAAATAATGGGTTAGAGATAATATACTAATTTTAAATGTGCTTTTCTTGTTCCTTCTTGTTTTTTATTTTGAAATAGGGTCTCACTCTGTCACCCAGGCTGGAGTGCAGTTGCACCATCTCGGCTCACTGCAACCTTCACCTCCTGGGCTCAAGTGATCCTTCTGCATAAGCCTCCCGAGTAGCTGGGATTACGGGCATGCACCATCATGCCTGGATAATTTTTATATTTTTAGTAGAGACAGGGTTTCAACATGTTATCCATGCTGGTCTCGAATTCCTGACCTCAAGTGATCCACCCGCCTTGGCCTCCCAAAGTGCTGGGATTATAGATGTGAGCCACCGCACCTGGCCTTGGATTTCATGATTTGACTGCCATCTTTTACACCAATTATTGCCATTTTTATTGGTTACTAATTATTAGTATTGTTTTCTTTATTAAATAAGTAAAATAACTTAAAAAAAAACTTTTCTTCCTAGTAAAAAGTTTATTTTCAATTTTTTTTATTGCTTACATTTTGCAGGTTAATGAAGGCTGTACTTCCTTTTCCTACTTTCTGTTTAAATGTTTGGCATTTTTTGAGAGTTTTCTTTCTATGGATTTTTGTGAGGGATCCCATCTTGTTGGACACTTAGTTCCTGGAGATTGCCAAATTATTGAAAAGTTTCCTCATACCCAAACATTGGCAATAGACTGAATAAATAACATCTCTGACACTACTTTTCAATGATATAGAAAATGCTATTGGTAAAATACTGATTTATTTAAAGATATTACAATCATAGTAGTTTTTTGCAATCTTTTTAAATCAGTGGATGTCAAAGAACTACTATTGTTCTTTGTACGGCATTTTTCAACGTTGTGAAGAGTTCTTATACTCAAAAAGTTTGGGAGACACAGTTTGACATTGTTTAACCTGAGTTGAACTTGTGATTTTGTATTCTTGTTTAGAGCAGGGATTTTATTTTGTCTCTTTATCTAACTTTGTATTCCTAACTGTATTACTTTCTTTCTCTTTGGTTCTTTCTTTGCTCATTCTTCTCTCTCTTCTTTTTTTATCTATCATATAAACATGTAAATATATGTTATATATTCATTAGGGAAGAGGAAGTTGTCTAAAGATATCTAGTACATAGGAGCTTTATTCTGCAGAAAAGAGGATATGAAGTCAATTATACTGGAAATTAATGCTTAATACTTTTTTTAAAGCATTTATCTCCCACTAATAATGAAAACGATACATCCTATGTAATTGAGAGTGATGAAGATTTAGAAATGGAGATGCTTAAGGTATGTTTACAATTACAAAAACATTACTTCAAGTTCTTTCCAAAGCACATTTAATTAAGTAAAATATTAACTAATTCTAAACCAGGTTCCACCACAATAAAATTGCTAGTAATTACGTAACATTAGATTTCACATTTTCCAGTTCATGTTTCTTTTACATAGTCTGTGAATAATGGGTTAGAGGTAATATACTAATTTTAAATGTGCTTTCTTTGTTCCTTCTTGTTTTTTATTTTGAAATAGGGTCTCACTCTGTCACCCAGGCTGGAGTGCAGTTGCGCCATCTCGGCTCACTGCAACCTTCACCTCCTGGGCTCAAGTGATCCTTCTGCATGAGCCTCCCGAGTAGCTGGGATTGCAGGCATGCACCACCACATCCGGCTTATTTTTGTATTTTTTGTAGAGATGGAGTTTCACCATGTTGCCCAGGGTGGTCTTAAACTCCTGGGCTCAAGTGATCCCCTGGCCTCAGCCTCCCAACGTGCTGGGATTGCAGGCATGAGCCGCTGCATCCAGCCCTGTGTTCCTTCTTGTGTTACTTTCTTGTAATTTTTTCCTGGAATATGGGTAGCGATTCAGCTCTCCAGTATTGAAGTTGCATTTCCTTTCTTCCAATTCATGTGTATCCGTTTTTATTTGGAAGTTTTGTTTTTATACATTCAATAATCATCTTTTCTTCCTTTGGTATTATTTACTATGGGTATTTTATATAATTTTCAAATGGATTAAATGGTTCAGTTTTACTCTCATTTATTATCGAGATTGAACATACTAGTTTATAATTTATATATTTTCTATTCCTTTACCTCTAATTTCTTTGTCAGGTGTTATGAACCAAAGATGTATAATAAGAAAAGCCAGTGTAGCTAAATTAAGTAAAAAATGAAGAAAAACACAGAGGTTCACCATTATGCATTTTTTTTATTCCTAATCTTTAGGTTGATGAGTTTTTTTATTTTTATGAAATGAGATTAATTTCCTGACTTTTTTAGTTTTGAGGCCAAGTAGTGAGTAAGAATGTATATTCTAGGGCCAGACATGGTGGCTCAGTCATGTAATCTCAGCACTTTGGGAGGCCGAGGCAGTAGGATCACTTCATTCCAGGAGTTTGAGACCAGCCTGGGCAACATGGCAAAACCCCATCTCTACAGAAGAATACAAGAATTGACTGGGTGTGGTGGTGTGCGCCTGTAGTCCCAGCTACTTGGGAGGCTGAGGTGGGAGGATCACCTGAGCCTGGGGAGGTTGAAGCTGCAGTTAGCCATGACCATGTCACTGCACTCCAGCCTGGGTGACAGAGTGAGACCCTGTCTCAATTAAAAAAAAAAAAAAGACTAGATTGTGAATTCAGATGTAGGTTTGAATCCCAGCTTTTCCAGTTAGTAGCTGTGTGACTTTGGGGAAGTTTCTTAGCATCTTTGATACTCAGTTTTATAATTATTATTTAAGATGTTGCTTGTAAAGAGTTTGGTATAGAGCCTGACATTTAGTAAGTGTTTAATAAATATTAGCTAACAGTAAAACTACAACATAAATACTGAATTGTATTTTGTTATTAATTATCCATTTCTCTGAGAAGTACTGTTCCAATAGTACATTTATAGGAAACTTGTGGACGTCTACAAACATATACGTTAAATCTCTTAGAAAGCAACCTGGATGCCCATATTAGAGAACTGTATTTTAAAAATGCATTCTAAGTATGTTTGTGGACTTGAATAAAATAAAACAAACAGAAACAGAAGCACTTCTTTTTTTTGCCTTCAGGCTTGAAATGAACATACTTTTTTAAAAAAAAACCTTCAAAATGAAAATATTAAATAAAAAGTTTAATAAAAAGAGAAAGCAAAAACTGTAGTTTAATAAAGTCTTCCTGTCTCTTCATGGTTAAAAAATGTTATAGATGGAACAATTTTGAAATATTCTTGAAATAGATAATCTTTATTTAGGGGAGAATGCCAGATACTGTCAAGCCAAAATAAAAACAAATAACTTTATTTCACTTTTGTAAAATTCCTTTTCTAAAATGATTGGAATCTTTAGTTGTTTTGAGAATTCCAAAACACGTTTATTGTTTGCTTATAGTTTCAGCCTTATTCAAAAATAATGTGACTGACACATGATATAGAGAAACTTGTTACAAAAATAACATTAAAATCCACATTTACTACTTGGGAATCGAAAATATTGAAGTGCAATAAAGAAAAAATGTTTTAAATTATCCAAATGTAAAATTTATGATAGCTTTCCCCAGGGGCAGTTTATTATATGCTATTAATGAGCCTTGTTTATGCTGGAAATGTTCCATCTTTGGCCTTGCGCCTTAGAAACCATTCATGAGCACATATTTAAACTGGAGCACACATGTTCTTTTGTAGTATGGCTTGCACATCTGCCAGCTTTCAACAAAATTGTAGGCCCTGTTAATAATAGTCCTTTTGTGTTTGGTGAAAAAGATACGACACTGTCAGTGGTTTTGCTTTTAAAATTTCTTTTAAACTTTCAGTCTTTAGAAAACCTCAATAGTGGCACGGTAGAACCAACTCATTCTAAATGCTTAGATATGGAAAGAAATCTGGGTCTTCCAACTAAAGAAGAAGATGATGATGAAAATGAAGCTAATGAAGAGGAAGAAGATGATGATAAGGGTAAGCACTGGAGTGTGTTTGAAATGACTCACCTGTGATTCCTACCACTGAATTTAACTTAGGATCCAGTTTTGGATGGTTTGGAGGTCAGGGATTTTGTGGCATATAATTATTGGATCCTTATAAGCTTTTGTCTCCTTAGTGCTTTTGTCTCCATAAAGCACAATCTTACTACTTACAAAAATAGAGTAATAGTTGCATTATGATAATAAAAATACCTTTCCCTTTGTTTTTTTGTATTAAATACACATGTGATTTCTCCAAATCATTATAGTTCTCATTTAGAATTATTAAAGCTGAGAACTCTAATAATGAACTTTCATTGTTTTGTGGTAAATTATCTTGATTCTTTGTATTGCCCTTTCTTGGCTACTCAGGAATCTTTCAAGCTCACTGTGGACAGGGAAAGTGAGTTGGGCAGAGCTAACATAACTTCATTGTGCTGTGCAGTTAGAATTTTGACCAAAGATGTAGGTAACTATCTTTTCCTAACTAAATTAGATTTAGGTAACTAAACTAAATGAGATTTTGGTAACTAAATTTAGGTGTAACTACATTTAGCTTTAGGTAACTAAAACAAAGATTTTATTTTATCTGTGGACTTTTTTAGTGTAGCACTAATGTAATTTCTGATTACCATTAATTGAAGGTTGGTTATATTATCACATTTGGATTGTTATGTTATAACATCTAAATGTTAGCCTTTAGAAGTATTCCTGATTCTAAAACATCAGTTTTTTTTTTTTTTTTAATAGTCCTGGCAAAGTGTGAATCACAACAAAATTCTAATACTTAAAAGTAATCCAAGTGTCATATATGGTACCCAGAAGACCAATTTATATTGAAATTGAAAAATAGAAAACATTAACCCATGGTAGCTATCACTGTATTCTTTCAAAGAAGCCAATGAAATGACCTGTTTTCTCCCTCTATGTGGCGTTTTTCTATTTGAACATAAATGCCCATTTTATTTTATTTCAAGACTCTTTGTTGCCAGCACCCAATGAAGAGCAAGTTACTTGCCTCAAGATGTACTTTGGCCATTCCAGTTTTAAACCGTGAGTATAATCTCAGTTAATCAAATCACATATTTAGTATTCTCTTAATGGTTATACATGCCACACTGTTTTTTCTGTGTGACTACAAAATTATTTCAAAGTGATAATTTGTATAAAATTCATTTCTGCAAATTGTTTTTTATAAGTGAGGAGAAATGGTTTTCCTTTAACTGAGCAGTTCTGAGTAGAAACTTGTTTAAAGATACTTATAAAAAAGTGTTAATTTAATACTGACTTGTTTTTCATTAAATGAGTGTCTATGTGCCTGTTTTGTGTATATTACCCAGAACATGCAGATGTACTAGAAGTTCTTAATACAACAATTTGAGGAATAGTGATAATCTTATCTATTTTAATGTACTCAAAATATGTTTACATCTAGCGGGCACATTTTTGTAAGGATTAAATGAGATGAATAAGAATGAGATGAACAAGTAAATGTGAATAAAACTAATAAGCATATGAAAATCTAGACTGGATTTTTCCTATTCTGAGAATTTAAAATGTAATCCACTGAAGTATTTCTTTCCTCTTTTCTTTTGATCTTAAACATTTTTTATTTATGTCTTACATACAGAAAAGTGCACATGGTGTAGAGATCAATGAATTTTCATAAACTGGGCACCCTGTAGCCAGCACTTAGTTAAGAATAGGTCATTAACAGCATGCCAGAAGAGCACCTCTCCAATTGGTTTTTCCCATGATATTAAGAAAATTTTCTAAGATGTAGTAAAGTTGAAAGAATTTTTTTTCTGTGCATGTCTGTATTCCCACCACCTAAATTCTACTATCATTACTATACTTGTTTTATCACGTATCAACTCTCTGTCCATCCATTAATTCATTCCAGTTTTAATATGCATCTCAGGGTCAATTGAGGACACCATTACACTTCCGCCTAAGGATTTCAGCATGTAAATTATTAACGAGTTAAATATTTACTTACAGTTTTTTCTTTTGATGTAAAATTTGCACATAAGGAAATAAAAACTTTTTAAGTGTACATTTGCAAATTTTAAGTATACATGTGCATACCCATGTAACCCAAATTGTTATCAAGAGATACCATTATCATCACCTCACAGAGTTCCCTTATTTCCCTTTTCAGTCAGTTCTTGTCCCTGGAGCATTTCTCTTATTATTTTGAAGTATTGATTCTTTTGGATATCTAGTATGAAACTTAGAATCTGTTTTTTACTTTAGATGTATGTAATGAAATTTAATACATATACCAAATGGTAGTTGTTAGTTAGCTTGAATGGAAGGTTGGTCAAATGGCATTCATTGTTTTAAAGTTCCAAGTTTGTGCAGATTTATGTATGAAGTTCGAAAATAAATTCTATTAAAGGAAATGAAAAATTGAATGGATTTTAATTTGTACCTTGGGTTTCTTATTAATAAAACAAAATAGCTTTTTGCTTTTTCCCTTCAAGAGTTCAATGGAAAGTGATTCATTCAGTATTGGAAGAAAGAAGAGATAATGTTGCTGTCATGGCAACTGGTAAGTTGTATTTAAGCAAATAACCTAATCCTTTAAAAATAAAGCATGAAGAGTTTGAAATAATCTTTCATTAAACTCTCAAAATACAAATGCAACTACAAATGACGTAAAATATAGAAGAGAGTGAACAGAGAACAGATGCTCAGATTTATGTATCAATTAACTTTTAGAAAGATAGCATACTAGTATTGACCATTCATCTGTATAAGTACATTGTAAAAAGAAATGAAAGCGTCAAAGGTTTATTTTTATTTCTATGAGCGTATTTTTTTCATTTCAAGGATATGGAAAGAGTTTGTGCTTCCAGTATCCACCTGTTTATGTAGGCAAGATTGGCCTTGTCATCTCTCCCCTTATATCTCTGATGGAAGACCAAGTGCTGCAGCTTAAGTAAGTCATGTTATCATTGCTGCAACATCACCCTCTTTTTTTCTTTTGCGGATGAAACATCTGATCCATCATGCATGTTAAAATCTAGTTCACAATAACACATTTCTGCAGGTATTGCTTTATCTTTATTAGTAATAAATGACACTTTAGTGGAAGAGCTTATCTTCTTTCTTGTGTTCTCTGTAATTCAAAGCTATCAGGTGGCCCTGATAAAATTCTTTTAAAAAACATTATTACTTTATGCTGGTTTACATTGTATATCTCAAAATTATTTTCTGTTTCTATTATGCTTGCTTTTTAGCTTGATAAGAAGTGTATACATGGAAGTATATTTTTTATCTATGAAAAATTTTTCAGCTTCTTCAACCTGAGCTTGCAATCTGTTTTTAAATTGATACATAATATCTTTACATATTCATGGGGTACTGTAGTATTTTGATACACTCATATCAAATACACTTGATCAAATCAGGGCATTTGTTCATCTTCATCAGCTTGAACATTTATCATTTCTTTGGGCTGGGAACATTTCTAATCTTTTCTTCGAGTTGCTTTGAAATATACTACAGTATTATTGTTGTTAACTATAGTTACCCTACTGTTGGTTAATGAGTACAAACATACAGTTAGATAGAAGGAATAGGTTCTAGCAAAGAACCAGAGTATACATTATTATATTTCTTTATTCTTGCTCACTTAAGAATCAAATTGATATGTGTAATGTGTACATGGGGCCAGAATATTTGTTTTTCTTCTTATAGAATGTCCAACATCCCAACTTGCTTCCTTGGATCAGCACAGTCAGAAAATGTTCTAACAGACATTAAATTGTGAGTAATTTTTTTTCCCTCAACTTTTATTTTGGATTCATGGGGCTGCATGAGCAAGTTTGTTACATGGGTGAATTACATGTTGCTGAGGAAGTTGTGAGTAATTTCTGTGATTTCTAATCATGTGGTCAGATGTCTGTGGTATATGAGAGACTTTTGTACACAAACAAATTTTATTAAATGCCTGAAAAAAAGTCCATGATTTTAAAATGCACTTTCTTTTTATAGTACCTTTGCAGGACTGTTACTTTTTAAATCCTTCAAACTTGAAGAAATCTGTTATTCTCAGTTCTTGGGCTATAAGATTCGCATTGTAGTCATAGAATTATAAAAATTTTGGTTTTGGAAGAGAAGCTGGAGAGTATCAAGATTTGTCTCATTTTATAGATGAGAAAACTGAGGCTCAGAGACAAGTAATTTGTCCAAAGTCACTCAATGACTGACTGATCAGGGACTGGATTCTAGGTCTCTTACCCAACGAATTCTATCATGATGTAATTCCTAAGGAGAATATCATCTCAGCCACACATACACACACCCATTTTGTGTGTGTGTGTGTGTATATATATGTACACACACACAAACATATATACACACATATATACATACACATATATTAATATATATGCATATATATGCATATTCTAATTCAGAACATTTTCATCACTCCCAAAAGAACACCCCTGCCCATTAAGCAGCTGCTTTCTTTACATACATATTAGTATATACATACACATGAGATACACATGTATTTACTGAGTTTTGATAAATACATACAAAGATGTAAACCAAACCTCTAACAAGATACAGAATATTACTGACACTCTAGAAAGTTTCTTCATGTCTCTCCCCAGTCTGTCCTTCCATCCTCCATCCTAGGCAAGCCTCTGCTCTGATTTTCTCTACCATAGTTTGGTAGAATGCCATATAAATGTGTTCACACAATATGAACTCTTTTGTGTGAGACTTCTTTCATTTGGTGTAATGTTTCTGAGATTCTTCCATGCTGTTGCATGTATCAGTAGTTTTTGGTTTTGTTTTGTTTTGTTTTTGTTTTTTTAGAGACACCGTGTCCTGTCACCCAGGCTAGAGTACAGTGGTGCAATCATAGCTTACTGCAGCCTCTAACTTGTGGGCTCAAGCTGTCCTCCTGCCTCCCAAGTACCTAGGGCTACAGGCATGTTCCACCATGCCTGGCTAATTATTAAATTTTTTGTAGAGACAGGAGCTTCCTTGGTTGCCCAGGCTGGTCTTGAACTCCTGGCCTCAGGATTGCTTCCAGTTTTGGAGTATTACAAATAAAGCTGCTATGAACATTCACATATAAGTCTTTGTATGGACATATGTTTTCATTTTATTGATACATATCAAGGAGTGGATCCTGTGGTGGATATATGTTTAACTTTCTTTTTTCTGAGATAAAATGAGAAAGCGATCCTCCTGCCTTGGCCTTCCAAAGTGCCGGGATTACAGGCGTGAACCACTGCACTTGGCATAGTTGTTTGTTTGTTTGTTTGTTTTTTAAATATCTGAGTGTTATTTTATTATATTTCATTGAATATAGCACAGTTTGTTTTTACATTTTCTTATTGATAGACACCTAGGCAATTTTTCTAGTTTTGGACTGTTCCTAATAAAGCTGCTATACACATCCTTATAAAAATCTTTTTTGTGAACATGTTTTCTTTTTTTCTAAGCATTTTAAATCACCTTTATTGAGGTGTAATTGACTTACAATAAATTTTGTATGCTGAGAAAGTATAATTTGATAAGTTTTGGCACAGGTATGCACTCACGAAACCATCATCACAATCCAGATAATGAACATATTCATCACCCACAAAGTTTACCTTTTTGTTTCAATCCCAGTCACCAGGTGATTGCTGATCTCCTTCCTGTTACCATAGACTAGTTTGCGTTTTCTAAAATTATGTATACGCGGAGTCAATCGTATTTTATGTGCTCTTTTTTTTTGTCTGGTTTAAATAATGCAATATAATTATTTTGAGATTCATCTGTGTTATTACATTGAGTAATAGTTCATTCCTCTTATTGTTAAGTGGATTACATTTTATGGATATCCAACAAGTTGTTTATCCATTCACCTCGTAGACATTTGGATTGTTTCCAGTTTTGAGTTCTTACAAATAAAGCTGCTGTGAACATTCATATATAAGTCTTCGTATGGACATATGTTTTCATTTTATTGATTTTATATGAAGGAGTGGAATGACTGGAACATGTGATGGATATATGTTTAACTTTGTTTTTTCTAATTGAGATAAAATGCACAGAACATAACTTTTACCATTTTTTAATTTTATTTTATTTTGAGATGGAGTCTCGCTGTGTTGCCCAAGCTGGAGCACAGTGGCGTGATCTTGGCTCACTGCAAGCTCCATCCCCTAGGTTCACACCATTCTCCTGCCTCAGCCTCCCAAGTAGCTGGGACTACAGGCGTCCACCACCATGCCCGGCTAATTTTTTTATATATTTTAAAAATATTTTTAGTAGAGACGGGGTTTCACCGTGTTAGGCAGGAATGGTCTCTGTCTCCTGACCTCATGATCTGCCCTCCTTGGCCTCCCAAAGTGCTGGGATTATAGGTATGAGCCACTGTGCCCGGCCACTTTTACCATTTTAATCGTTACTAAAGTCCAGTGGGTTTTGGTGTAGTAATACTATATAGTATAATATATAATATGTAACATTATTACTATATGATCTATAGTAATACTATATAATATATATTATATATAATATTAATATATATTAATTCCAGAACATTTTCCTAACTCCCAAAAGAATTTCCGTACCCATTGTGTGGTCATTCCCTATTGTCCCTTTTATTTTCTTTTCTTTTTCTCTGAGACAGGGTCTCCCTCTGTCGCCCGGGCTGGAGTGCACTGGCATGGTCATGGTTCACTGCAGCCTTGATTTCCTGGGCTCAATTGATCTTTTCACCTCAGTCTCCTGAGTGCTGGAACTGTAGGCACAAGTTACCATACCTGGCTAATTTGTTTTATTTTTAATAGAGATGAGATTTTGCTCTGTTGCCTAGGTTGTTCTCAAACTCCTGGGCTCAAGTAATTGTCCCACTTCAGCCTTCCAGAACACTGGGATTACAGGCGTGAGCCACTCTGCCTGGCCTTTTGTCTCTGTTCTGCCCACTTCCAACCACTAGTCTACTTTCTGTCTCTATGATTTGCCTATTCTGGATATGTCTATAAATGAACTCATACAGTACATGGTCTTTTGTGTCTGGCTTCTTCTTAGCATAATCATATCAGTACTTCATTCAGTCTTTTTTTATGACTGAATAATATTCCATAGTATGGGCATACACATTTTAAAAAATTCGTTCATCAGGGATGGACATTTGGGTTGTTTCCTTTTTGGCTGTTATGAATAATGGTGCTATGAACATTTGTGTACCAATTTTTTTATGAACATACATTTTCAACGCTTTTGCATATATGCCTAAGAGTGGAATTACTGGACTATATGCTAATTCTTTGTTTAAGAAACTACCAAGCTTTTGAGAATGATTGTATCATGGGATGTTCCCACCAGCAGTGTATGAGAGGTCCAGTTCCTCCCCATCCTTGCCATCACTTAGTCTAGCTGATCTTTAATTTAAGCCATTCTAATAGTATCTCATTTTATTTTTAGTTTGCTTTTCCCTAATGACTAATTATATTGAACATATTTTCATACACTTACTGGCCATCTGTATATCTTCTTTGAGGAAGTGTCTGTTAAAATCTTCTGCTTATTCTTTTCACTTATTGAGTTTTGATAGTCATTTCTATATTCTGAATATAAATTCTTTATTTGATATATGCTTTAAAAACATTTTCTCCTAGTTTATGACTTTTCATACTTTCCACACAGTTCTTTTGAAGAGCAGCAGTTTTTCATTTTGATAAAGTCCAGTTTGTCGATTTGTTCTTTTAGGGATTTTTGCTTTTAGTGTTTTGACCCAAGGTTACAAAGATTTGCTTTTATGTTTTCTCCTAAAAGTTTTATAGTTTTAAGTTTTACATTTAGATTTATGATTCATTTTTAGTAAATGTTGTCTATTGTAGGAGATATTGATTACAGTTTATATATTTTTCACCTATTGTTCCAGCTCCATTTTTAAAAAAGACTATGCTTTTACACTGAATTGACTTTGTACCTTTGTCAAAAATAAATTGACTGCATATATGTGGGTCATTTGCTGCACTCTCTATTCTGTGTTTGGTGGATCTATGTCTGTCTTGATTGGTGTCTTGATTACTGTAGCTTTATAATAAACCTGGAAATCAGATAGTGCAAGGCCTCTAGCTTTGTTCTTTTCTTTCAGAGTTTTTCTGACTATTCTATGTCCTTTGTATTTCTGTGAGCATGTCAGCATCACCTTTTCAACCAAAATGCCTGCTGGGATTTTGATTGTGTTTACCTTGAATCTAGATATCAAAACAATAGCTGCCTTGATAATTATTGTCACTGTTTTATACCAAAGAAACTGGGCATGCTAAAGTAACTTGGTTAACATCACTTACCTTGTAAGGAGTAGAACTGGGCAGTTTGACATCAGAGCTTATTCTTTATACTGCTTCCTATGTTAATTAGAATACAATGTTAATTTCATAAAGGTAAAGGCATATCTGTTTTGTTAATATTTGATTCCTTGTGAAAGCACAGTGCCTAGCGCACAGTAGACACTTAAACATCTGTTGAATGGACAGGTGAATGCTTTTAAAGTCTTTTCACATAGAAAATTAAGTTTCATTACATTTGGCTTGATCTAGGTCTTCATTTCATAGAATGGAGCACAGACTCTGTAAATATTTTGCCCCAGACCTAGCCTTATTACAAACAGTGTCTTAATTAGGATTCTGTCTACCCAGAATAGAAATTAACTCAAGCTAGCATAAGTGTATATTGAATTTTGTATTAAGGATAAAGGAATGTCTCATAGATCCCACTTAAAAGAAATTAGCCAGCCCTTAGGAAGAGGCTGGAATTGGGTTTGGAAAATACAACAGGGCTTTCTTTTTATCTATAGTCTTTAGTGAGTCATCCTCATTTTTCTCTCTGAAGAGGTAAGCATTCTCTGTATGTATATAGCCATCTTTTAGATTTTCGTGACATAAAGTATTTAAACATTCATCAGGTATTTTGATTTTAAGTTGTAATTCCTTGAGATGATTGTTTTCTTTATTGTTAATATGTTTCCTTTCTTTCTTTTTTTTTTTTTTTTTTTTTTTTTTTTTTTTTTTTTTTTTTTTCTTTTTGTTTTGTTTGTTTTTGCAGAGGCAAATACCGGATTGTATACATAACTCCAGAATACTGTTCAGGTAACATGGGCCTACTCCAGCAACTCGAGGCTGATATTGGTAAGTGGTAAAGAAAGATCTTTGTAAATACTTACTGGGTTAATCTTTAAAGTTAAACCTATGGATGGACACTGGATTTCACTTCTGTTAAAATTTATTTCAAACATTACTTCCTCCAGGAAATCTGACTCTCTAATTGGGCGTTTCACCTATCTTATCCCATGATACTCTATAATTCCTTTTGCTACAGAAATTAGGCTCCGTTAGCATAATTACCTGTTTATATATCTGTTTTCTTCTGCTAGGCTATACACTTTTCAAGGGAAAAATACCACTTCTTAAAATTTATGTTTCCCCAATGCAGTCAGTGTGCTTGGCACATAGGCACTTAAACATATTGTTGAATGAATGTTGAATCCTAGGTTCTATGAAATTTTAATTTACTTGTTTTTCATGTTCTGTATCTAAATTAAGTCAATGTAGTGGTTTTGTACTCTCTTTGTTCATAAGAATCACTTCTTTTCAAACTTAAAAAAAATGTAGATAACCAACCCCCAACCTTGAAAATTCTGATTTAACAGGCGTGGGGTGGCACCTGGCATTGGTGGCTTCTCACAGGTGATTCTGATGTATAGCCAGGGTTGGAAACCACAGTACCTTTGATTAGTTGACACTAGTGAGTTTGATTTATTACAAAAACCAAAAACTTGGATAAGTCAGAGTTTATTTCCTAGAAAGTGTAAATATAGAATTAGTCAAAAGCTGATAGCACTTTTTTTTGTTCTTAAAAATATTTTAAGCCTCAGTATAGTGAGACCTCGTCTCTACAAAGAATTTTTTAAAAAATTGGCCGAGCCTGGTGGTGCATGCCTGTAGTCCAAGCTACTTGGGAGGCTGAGGTAGGAGGATTGCTTGAGCCTGGGAGATGGAGGCTGTGGTGAGCCGACATTACACTACTGCACTCCATCCTGGGCAACAGAGCGAGACCATGCCTCAAAAAAGAATTTTTTTTTCTTCTTGGTGGTTAGGTTCAACTATCCAAGAATTGCAATCATGGCTCCTCTTGCAAATGCCCCTATTTCACACTTTCAGTTGACCTAGCCAAATTTAATTTTTCAATATCATATGATCTTGTTATATAATTATGTATTGAAATAATTCCAGATAGGTTAGGTTTTCACATTGCAACGTCTCGTTTAACGGTTACTTTCATATAACTGTAGGAAAGCATTTGATAATTTTTCCAACAATATAATGAAAACAAACTTGTATCTTTTTTGGTATGTGTTAAAACCAACAACAGAATGAGGGCAGCAATTAACATTTCATTAAATATATTAGCAACGAGTACATTTATGAGCTCTTAAACTCCCTTATTGACATACTATATTTTTTGCCTTTAATGGACAATGAATTTGATATGTTTCCTATTAGGTTGTATGAAGTTCTTGTGAATATTTCACTTTGAATTAAGAATAACTACTCTATATATAAATTTCATGGTTGTATTGCAAAAGCTAGGGTCTATGTCTTTAGTGGTCTGGGTACGTTTTTACTATTTGCTTTGTTTCTGTGATAGTGTTAAATGAATAATAAGCTTAAGTATTTAAACAAATAATACTTTTGACAAGTAGTTAAAACTCTATTTTTATTTTTTTGTAATGGATGAATTATGAACACTGCAATTATTAGAGCAGTGTACTTTGCTTATGATGGATGAAAATGTTCTCTGGTTGACTCAGTGTTCAATAAAAAGGGATAAATTAAATAAAAATTATTTTTGAAATATTTTCCTTTGCCTTTTGTTGCGGGAAATTGTACAATGCTTGCAAAAATGAATATATGCAGGATGTTATTTGTACAGCAGTCTGACATTTAGCTAATCAGATTCCTCATTTTTTGGTAAATGTTAAATTACTTAAGTAGTCTGGATTTTTAACAGAAAGAGCAAACATAGTTTTATAGGGAGACTCCTTACCAACCAGACTTTTAACTTAAGTGAATGTTGGCAAAAGCTTGTCTAAACTGATTTTGAGGGATAAGGTTTAGCTCCATTAAAAGCTACTTTGTCAAACCTGTAACTAAAGCTTTTAAAAAAAGGAAAGTTTTAAAGTAAAAGAGACCATCATCTCTGTTTCAACCTATTTAATTTAAAATCTGAGCTGAAGTAGGAGTATTGCTTCACCCAGGAGTTCGAGACCAGCCTGGGCAACACAGTGAGACCCCATCTCTGAAAAAAAAAATGAGCTGAGCATGGTACCTGTTATAGTCCTACTTACGAAAGAAAGAGGGAGAGAAGGAAGGAAGGGAGGAAGGAAGGAAGGAAGGAAGGAGGGAAAAATCAATCAGTCACTCAGGTTTAGTTTCAAAAGCCAAAATAATTATAGTGATAATATTGAATTTTTTCCAGCCACTCAGTAGTACCCAGAGAATTTTGATACAAATAACTGACTTTGCCCCCATGTTTAGTAGGTTTTTTTTTTTTGGCTTTCTTTCTCCTCCACACTGTCTTAAGACTGTTGTAACTTGTAATGTCAATGAATTGTAATTGTTTATTTGCATGTCTGTCTCCTCTTTTAGAATTGTGAACTCCTCAGGTCATGGATTGTATTTTATTAGTCTTTTTATTGCTAGAAAAGTGTTTGGATAATAATAGATATTTATTAACCATAATAGGAGTAGTAGCAATTTTTTTGTGTGTGTGCCAGGCCCTATTTTAGCATTTTATGTGAATGATATAATTTAATCTTTAGAGCATCTAGAAAATGTTAGGTACTATTATTGTCCACATTTTACTTGTGAGAGGACTGAGACTTGGAAAGCTTAAGTAACTTGCTTAAGGTAATACACATGACAGGTGGTGGAGCCAAGGTCTGCATCTGGGCAGTCTGACTTTAGAGCTTTTTAATCATCCTCCTCTTAGTGTCTGAACATTATTAATGCTCAGAGAAGTATCAAAGAATGATCATACTCATTAAAGGAAAAACTTATTCTTATGTATCAATTTGTTAATTGAGGGCAAAAGCACGACTGTTACTACTTTGAAAAATCTGAAGACATTGTTCTGACATGCATTACAACACACTGTTGATTCCGCTTCAGTGTGTGTGTCTGGTGTGGGGACAGAGCAGAGAGGCTTCTACAGGAAGAAAGAACAAATTACGTTTCTTCTTACCTACTTTGTACATCATGTGATTTAGCTCTTCCCATACCATTTTACATTAGAAAATGTGGCTGTCCTCCTGTGCTCTGATACTGGCATTTCAGAGGACTCTGCAATATGATGTGTGGCAATGCAGTTAATTTCAGTAGAAATTTGCTGGCTCTTTTTATCTCTTTTAATAGCTAATGCATGAGACAAAATTGAAGGTATTACCAAAGAGAAATGCAGGTGGATAGTTTTGGAGACAAAGTCACAGTAAGCAATTCATCTCTCCAAGGAATAGTGATGAAAGCTGAGATCCAATAAATATCTTCTTTGGATTAATACATAAATATTTCCTTTTAAAATTCTTAAGCCTTTTATTCATATATGTCCCCTCTCCCTATTTCCAATAATGATTTTTTGTCTTAATATGATGGTATTTATGCTTCTGTTTTTATAGGAACCAAATACTTTGATTTTGGTTATTTGTTCTCCTTCGGAGATGTAGATGAGTTTATTTTTTCCTTTTGAGCTTTATGTTTTCCTTTACGTGTTTTTCTTTTTTATAGGTATCACACTCATTGCTGTGGATGAGGCTCACTGTATTTCTGAGTGGGGGCATGATTTTAGGAATTCATTCAGGAAGTTGGGCTCCCTAAAGACAGCACTCCCAATGGTAAGCTTTGCCAAGTCTGATGTCCCGAAATTACATTCTTACTAAGGAGAGCATTCAGGATTGGGGAGTGGTAAAAAAGCTGGAGACTTCACTATAAAAGAGCAAATGGATAATGTGAAAAGAGAACTATTTTTAAAAAAATTCTAAAGTTGGCATATAATCTATTGAGGAATACAGTAGAACAAGACTTGACAAACCTTTTCTGAAAGGACCAGGTAATAAATATTTCAAGCTTTATAGGCCACATGTAGTCTGTATCACATATTCCTCTCTCTCTCTCTTTTTTCTTTTAGTAACCCTTTAAAAATGTAAAGGGTTACATTTTTCACTGGTGGGCCATAACAAAACAGGCTGTGGGCCATATTTGTCCAAATGTCTTCTCAGTGATCTTTCATCCATATATCCTTTTACTCTAGGATGCTGTGAAATCCCGGTTACCCCTTATTGTATCACATTGAAAACCTAAAGTTTGAACTATTCTACAGAGATTTTATTAAAGCTTTCAGTATTAGAATTTCCCTTTCTTCCCTATTAAAAAAATAGCAAATTTTGACCAGGCGCCGGGGCTCACGCCTGTAATCCCAGCACTTTGGGAGGCCAAGGTGGGCGGATCACCTGAGGTCAGGAGTTCGAAACCAGCCTGGTCAACGTGGTGAAACCCTGTGTCTACTAAAAATACAAAAATTATCTGGGCGTGGTGGCAGGTGCCTGTAATCCCAGCTACTCGGGAGGCTGAAGCAGGAGAACCGCTTCAACTCAGGAGGCGGAGGTTGCAATGAGCCAAGATCGTGCCATTGCACTCCAGCCTGGGCAACAAGAGTGAAACTCTGTCTCCAAAAAACAAAACAAAACAAATTTTTACATGAATATTCTACATGATTGGCATATTTACATGAATGGTTTAAAAACCCACAATACTAGCACTGTTTTATTTTTTATTTTGAAAATTGTAAATTCACAAGAAGTTGTAAAAAAAAACAAAAACAAAAAAAACGTATAGAGAGGTCCTATGTACCTTTCACCCAGTTTCCTGAACAGTATCATCTTGCATGACTATAGTACAGTATCAAAACTAGGAATATGACATTTGTACAGTATCTACAGTTTATTCTTATTTCTCCAGTTTTGTAAGTATTCTTTTGCATGGTGTGTGTATTGTTCTATACAGTTTAATCTCATGTACATTTGTGTAACTACCACTGCAGTCAGGATACCAAATGTTCCCTTACCACAAAGCTCCCTGGAGCTGTTCTTCCCACCCCTGGCGCTAGCCACTGGCAACCACAAATCTGGTCTCACTGTCTAAAATTTTATTTCAAGAATGTTATATACATGTAATCATGCAATTTGTCACCTTTTGGAATTAGTTTTTTTCACTCAACATAATTATCTTGAGATCCATTCAAGTTGTTTGTGGTCATGTGTTGCTTAACAACAGGGATATGTTCTGAGAAATGTGTTCTTAGGACATTTCGTGGTTATCTGAACATGCACTTACACAAACTTGCATGATAAAGCTTACTGCATACCTAGGCTGTATGGTAGAGCCTATTGCTCCTAGGCTGTAAACCTGTCCAGCATGTTACTGTAATGAATACTGCAGGCAATTGTAATACAATGGTAAGTATTTGTGTATCTAAACATATCTAATGTAGAAAAGGCACAGTAAAAATACAGTATAAAAGATAAAAGATGGTATACCTGTATAGGGTGCTTCCTGCAAATGGAGCTTGTAGGACTGGAAGTTGCTCTGAGTGAGTGAGTGAGTGAGTGGTGAGTGAATGTGAAGGCCTAGGACATTACTCTACACTACTGTAGGCTTTATACATATTGTACACTTAGTCTACACTAAATTTATTTTAAATTTTTCTTTAAAAATTTTCTTCCTTTAATAATAAATTAATCTCAACTTACTGTAATTTTGATTCATAAACCTAAAACACTTTTTGACTTTGGACTCTTGTAATAACTCTTCGATTAAAACATAAACACATTGTACGGCTCTACAAAATTTTTTCTTCCTTGATTAATGCATTCCATAAGCCTTTATTTTAAAATTTTATTTTTATTTTTTAAACTTTTTTGTTAAAAACTAAAATACAAACACACATATCAGCCTAGACCTACACAGGGTCAGGATCATCAGTATTGCTGTCTTCCACCTCCACATCTTGTCCCACTGGAAGTTCTTTAGGGGCAGTAACACTCGTGGAGCTGTCATCTGTGATAACAATGCCTTCTCCTAGATATCTCCTGAAGGACCTGCTTGAGGCTGTTTTACAGTTGACTTTAGAAAATGAATATGTAGAAGGAGTATACTCTAAAATAATGGAAAAGGGTATAGGTAAATATGTGAACCAGTAACATACTTGTTTATTATTCATCAAGTTATATACTGTACATAATTGTATGTGCAACACTTTTTAATGACTGGCAGGACAGTAGGTTTATTGATAGCAGCATCACTACAAACGTGAGCAGTGCCTTGTGCTAAGACATTATGGTGGCTCTGACATCACCTGGTGATAGGAATTTTTCAGCTTCATTATAATCTTATGGGACCACTGTTCTACATGTGGTCTGTCATTGACAGAAATGCCATTAAGTACCACGTGACTGTTTTTCGGAAGTCTGTTCCTTTTTATTATTACAGAGTATTCCATGGTATGGTTGTACTACAGTTTAACTGTTCACCTGTTGAAGAACTTTTGGGTTGTTTTCCAGTTTTTGACTATTATGAATAAAGATGCTATGAACATTTGTGTGTATCTCAAAAGTTCTTCAATAGGTGAATGGCTAAACAACCTGAAAATATAAAAGTTTTCATTTCTCTGGGATAAATGGCCAGAAGTGTATTTTTAGTTTTTAAGGAATTGCCAAACTGTTTTCCAAAGTGGCTATAGCATTTTACATTCCTGTCAGCAGTGTGTGAATGATCTAGTTATCCTTGCCACCGTTTGTTGTTGCAACTGTTTTTTATTTTAGCCATTTTGATAGGTGTCGAGTGGTATCTCACTTTTAATTTGCATTTCTCTCGTGGCTAATGATGTTGAATGTCTTTTCATATGCTAATTTGCCTCCGGTGAAATTCCTTATATAATTGGAGTGCTTGTTTTTTTCTGTTGAGTTTTAAGAGTTTAAAAAACACATTGTAGAAACGAGTCCTTGGTCAGATACGTGGTTTCAAATATTTCTTTCATTTTGTAGCTTGTCTTTTCATTCTTTTTATCATGTCTTTCACAGAGTACATATTTTACATTTTAGTGAAATCCAGTTTATCATTTTTTCGTTTATGGATTGTGCTCTTCACCTAGCCCTAGATCCTGAAGATTTTCTCCTATGGTTCTTTCCTAAAATTGTTACAGTTTTATGTTTTAGGTCTGTGATCCATTTTGAGTTAAATTTTGTATAAGATGTGAGGTTTAAGTCAAGGTTCATTGTTTTCCCAATAGATGTTAAATTACTGCAGACCCTTTGTTGAACAGGCTGCCCTTCCCTTGTTAAATTGCATTTGCCCCTTTGTTGCAAGTCATTTGGGTGTATTTGTCTAGGTCTATTTCTGGGTTCTCTAGCCTGTTATATTAATTTTGAATGAATAAATAAAGTTGACTTATGTTTAAGTTTTCTTGGTAGTAGTGAGGCAGTGGTGCCTTCTGAGCCCAGGATTTCCCAGTTTTGTGAGTAAACTGTGTTAGAAATTGTTTGTTATTCTTTTGGTAGATTGTCTAGTTCAGTTTCATTGCTCATTAATCTTGCTTATAGATAGCAAATTGAGAGGAATCTCAAAAATAGTGTCTTTTGTTAGCTTATCTCACAGAGTTTGGTTGGAGCAGATATTAAAACAGAACAAACCAAAAAGAAATTAAATATACTAGTTAGCAAGTTTATATTGAGGGAAAATCAAGCCATGTGAATTGAGCTCCAGTGATGTGGCTGACCTTGGGTCAGATTTTTGTATCATGGTTCAACAAGGTAGCTATTAAAATCTTCATACTACTTCTTGAAATAATTCTTCAGTAGTCACATAGGACAGCACACACTCCTGGATTTCTTCTTTCCTTACTGTCTCTTTATTCTCAGTCTCCTGTTTCTTCTCATCTCCCTGCCCTTTTAATGTTGGCCTTCCAGAAACCTTAGTCTTTGGAACTACCTTTGTACTCATTTTCTTGGTCATTTCACCTAACATACAGTTTTATTTTATTTTATTTATTTTTTTATTTTTGACATAGAGTTTCACTCTTGTTGCCCAGGCTGGAGTGCAATGGCGTGATCTCAGCTCACTGCAACCTCTGCCTCTAGGGTTCGAGTGATTCTCCTGCCTCAGCCTCCCGAGTAGCTGGGATTACAGGCAGGCACCACCATGCCCAGCTAATTTTTGTATTTTTAGTAGAGATGGTGTTTCACCATAGTGGCCAGGCTGGTCTCGAACTCCTGACCTCAGGTAATCCACTTGCCTTGGCCTTCCAAAGTGCTGGGATTACAGATGTGAGCCACCACGCCCAGCCTGCAGTTTTAAATATCAAGCCTATGCTGAGAACTCCCAAATTTTTATCTCCATCATAGACTGATATCAGCAGTATATGAGTGATCCAGTTGTTTTTGCCTCTTTGCCAGCATTTGGTGTTGTCACTATTTGTTCGTTTTAGCCATTTAGTAGAATATATGTACATATATGTGTGTACACACAGGCACACATCTGTGTAACTACTCAACATGCCTCTGGTGAGATGACCAAAAGGTGTCTCAAACTTAACCTCTTCCTAACTGACTTCTGCGTAGCACTCCAGATCTGCTCTTTGCTCACTCTTCTCCATCTTGTTTAACAGCAACTCCATTGGCCAAAATTTTGGAATTTTCCTCAATTTTTTCTCTTTTTCTCACACTCCACTGTTTATTTAAACAGTAAGGAAATCTCGTGAGGTCTTCAGAATATATGCAGGATTAAATCATTTCTCTCTTGATCCCTGCCATTCCCCAGGTAAAAGCCACCATCTCCTTAGAGCCTCCTGCTTTCACTCTTCCCATCCCTCATTCTGTTTCAACACAGCGTCCAGAATGATACTTTAAAAATGAAGTCAGATAGATCATGTCTTCTGCTCAGAACCACCTAGTAGCATGCCATTTCCCTCTAAATAAAGGCAAAAGCCCCTTCCATTTTCCCTCTGACCTCATTCTCTCCTCCTTGTCTCCTCATTCACCGGATTCAGCCACATCACCCTCTTTGTTTTTCTTTGGACATTCCAGGCATGCTCCAGTGCCTGGGCTTTGTGCCTGCTGCTTCCTTTCCCTGAATACGTTTCCCCCACATTATCTGTGCGATGTTCTCCCCTACTTCTCTCAGATGTTTTGCATTTAGGCCTTCTGGGCCGCCATATTTGAAATATCAGATTAGTTTCCCCTCCCCCATCATTCAACATTACTCCTGAACCTTTGCTTTTTAAAAAATAGCACTATCACTGTTTAACTTATTGTGTTATATTTTGTTAATTTTCTGTGAGTTCTTCTTCACTGGAATATTCTTTGTAGGGAGGAGTTTTTGACTGTTGGTTTATAAAATCTAGAACAATACCTGGCTTATAGGAGGTGCTCTATATATAACGGGGTGAATGAATGAATGAATTCTGATGAGAAAGCTGAGAATTAGTAAAGTGACTTTCCAAAACAGGTAGTGGGCAGTATAGAGTTGGGCCATAAATAGCTACACCATACAAGCAAATGATTTGAAAGAGGCATAAAATGTAATTTCTGCCCTCAAGTAGCTCATAGTTCAGTAAAGGAGTCTAGATTCATACCTATAACAGTAGAAGTAATAGTACCAAACAAAATATGGTATTATGAAGTGGTACAAATAATACAAAAAGATGAACAGTGTTAGTAGTACATGTTTAGAAGGGATTTCTGTGGTGAAAGTCGCTAGGCACAGTGCACCTGGAGGACTGATTTCCATTAATTTAGAATGGTTTAAAATAAGCTTTTGGAAACTAGGAAGATTACTTTCTGTAATCCTTTCCTAGGCCTTTGATTCTAGAAGGATTGTGTTAAAGGAGTTTTAAATATTTTATACAGTTCTTAAACATTTTTTAGCTTGAATTAAATCTTGTATTATGTCTGGCCATGGATGTCATTGGATCATTTTCATTTCTTGGGAGGATTAATAAAGCACGTTCCTTCTGTTGGGCCTCCAGTGCAGGGAGCGTGTTGGCCGAGCAGTGGCTGAGAAAACCTTTTTCCCCTGGTGTTTTCAAGAACCCTCTTTATTAGCTAAATGGTGAGACATGCCACCTGGTGGTTATAGCACTATCATTTTTTTTCACTGTTCTTGGTGCTTTTTTTCTTCTTCTGATTCCAGTTATACTAGGATAACTACTATAAACCTAGAGTGTTTCACACCATATTATTTCAATAAGTTCAAAAACAGCAGAGATGACTAAGCTGTTTGGCACAAAGATTCCTATTTGGAGGGAATCAGACAAAGTGGGTGTTGAGAAAGAACAGGCAGGCAGAAAGCTTTGCATCAGTCTTAAAGCCATTTACATTTCAGGTAAGAGGAACTGTGAAGTCCATGAGACATGTGGGGTTTTTCTGTTACTTTCTCCCCAGTACCTATTACAAAGATCAGCACATAGTAGGTACTCAGTAACTATTTAGAATGAGTGCGTGAATGAATGAAGTATGTGTGATGTTATGGAGTACAAAGTTAGAATTAGCAACCTGACCTGAATTTAGAAGCAGGTGGAATACTTACACTTTTCTCAATCTGTGGGGACTACACCATTGAAGTATATGTCTAAGATCTTCCTAAATTTATAGTCATAAATCTGTTACTATAAATTTAGGAAGATTAATTTATATTTGGTTGTTTGATTTAGCAAAACTTGCTGCCTGTTAAAAAGAAATTAAGACCTGTCAACTTAAAGAATACATTTTGTGAGTTAAGAACTAAGTGACAGTATAATTTATTACCCGAAATAGTTTGCTTCTGAAAATTAAAGAGTTCAAGCTGTTAATAATTATGCCATGACTGCAGGCATAAACTGGGAATGTCCCGGCAAATGAGGATATATTGTCACCCTTCTCATAGCCTGACTGTGTGTTGTTTTTAAGCTTCACTCTAGTTTATATATTTTAAATGTCATAAAATGCCACATACTTACAAGAGAAAAGGTCCTATTCATTGCTGAAGTGGAAGTTTATCATTAATTTTTAATATATTCTATTACTTTATTTTCTAATTCTAGAAGCAACATTCTGAGCTATATCTTTCTAGAATGTTGAGGCAAAAGAGTAAATTTATAGTGATTTTCACCGTTACCAGATTGCTGGAATAGGGAATTTCTGGTAGCAAGATGGGTCTAACACATCATACAGCCCTCTCCATCTCATTTTTTTTTTTTTTTTTTTTTTTTTTGCTGAAAGAGCAGCCCTTGCAAATGTCAGTTGCAAATCGGGGAGTAGTACTCATGTCTCTGAAGTTCTTATATAGAATTCTTTTTTTTTATTTTAATGACAATATTTGTAAAAGTTGAAACTTTTTGAGCACTTACTATATTTGATGCATTACAGCACTTTGCATGTTTTATCTCACTTGATATTCATAACTTTATGAGATGGCACTGTTATTGTAGCCATTTTATAGATGAGGAAACTGAAGCTTAGAGAGTTAAATAAAGAGCTCAAAAATCTCACATCTAGTAAGTGGTAAAAACAGGATTTCAACTCAAACAATCTGATTCCAAAACAGATTTTTTCCACTGTGGTGCCATTCTTTTGCCTGGTTTTTCTGTTAACTTCTTAAAGATACGTCATGTTTCATGCTTACTTCCTCATTTTCATAAATATATTACCTGCCCACTTATACATTATATTGCTTAGAAACAAACCCAACCCTCTTTTCTTATGGACTGTATCCTGAAAATCACTGTTTTTAATATGCAATTAAACAAGTATTTTATTAGTGCGTTTATATAAATTATTTGACCAAAACACTTAAACTGGTGAAAGTGCTTTACTATGAGAGTGAGAATGTGCATGTTCTAAGAACCTCTAATTTTTAAACTTCCCTTAGTTTCAGTCTTATATTTGTTAAAACCTGTGTGTTAACACGGATACACCCATGTTGGGGTTGATTAGAGAAACTAACCTCTTTATAGATTAGCTTGTTCCTCTTTAAGTTGCTAGGCAGGCACTGTAAATTCAGAGAACAATCTGATTTTAAGCCACAAACCAATGAAATTAATTTTGGGGTTGCCTTTTCAAATAGTGTCACAAAATTTAAGGATAAAGAATGCAAAAATGATGCTAATTACCTTGTCACATTCGTTTTGATTTAATTTTTTTAATTTGAAAAAACCTACTCTCAAACTTAATTGATTTTTTTTTTAATGTGAGTTTGGAGATTGAGTTTTTAATTCAGTAAAGTTATAGTGATTGAAAAAGTAATTTATAATTTTTAATAAAGTGATCTTGTTTTAATTTTGAGTCATATTCTAGAATTTCTTCTTTGCAAATTGGTAAATTGCACATACATTTCCACTTATATACAAGATAATTGTGATAGTTGGTTTGTAAAATAGATGCAGTGCATCTGAAGAGCTATTTTATGAGAATATTGTTTCCTGTATCTGTCATGAGCCAAAAAGAATATTTTTAAGAAAGTTATATTCTTGGTGATAGAATAGCTGATAATTTAGAAACAGTTGTAAGACAGTCCACTTTTTCTGATTATGAAACAATACCATAGTTACATGTAATTTCCTATAATAGGATAAAAATATGAGATCTAGTTTTAGGGGATTTCTGGAAGATGACATATTCGTGTTTTTTCCTGATAACTGCTGAGTCTCCTGCTCTGTCTGCTAATCCAGTCAAGAAGTCTTTGCTAGCAATCAATTAATCATACATATTTCATTTATACATATTTCCTATATATAGTATGTTATTGATTATCTCAGTACCACTGAAGAGAGGTTATCTGGGTCACTGGAGCTTTGCTTCTAGATTTGTGAAGATATAAACCTATATATTTAAAATAGGAGGCCAAAAAAAAAAAAAAGACCATTGCTTTATGTAGTTAGATTTTCAGTGAGAGTTTATAATTTGTAATTATCCATTAATGAAATATAAGGCATAATTTACTTCCTGCTTATATCAGCACCATTTCAAATGTAATAAATGTTAAAAAATAATAAATGGAGAAGTAGATAGCTAATAGGTAGGCTTAATTTAATAAGACAAGGTAAATTGCATTTGGAAACCTCATGGATTTAATGTTTTATTTAAATGATTTCTGATTTTTAAAAAGTAAATATTGTATCCAGAAGCCTGAGAAACAAGTTAGTAGGGAGATTTTTTTCTTTACAAAAAATTTTACAGTTGCGTCTTTGACATTGTACTTCTGACTGTTGTCCTACCAGTCTCTTTGTAAGAAAGCAATACACATGTCGGGAATGAGTGGGCTCTTTCCTTTTTAAAATAACAGTTTTACATCATTCAGGTTCCAATTGTTGCACTTACTGCCACTGCAACTTCTTCAATCCGGGAAGACATTGTACGTTGCTTAAATCTGAGAAATCCTCAGATCATCTGTACTGGTTTTGATCGACCAAACCTGTATTTAGAAGTTAGGCGAAAAACAGGGAATATCCTTCAGGATCTGCAGCCATTTCTTGTCAAAACAACAAGGTAAGGATTTAATGGTTGATGAATTTTGGTAATGATTTCCTTTTTTTTTTTTTTTTAACAAGTTATGTATTTTACAGTTTTCTTCTAATGCATATTTAACGTATTTCAAATTCCACCTAGTTTTGGTTCAAGTCAAGCATGATGTTATATAATCAACTCAGTGGTTGAGAATAGTCTATTTTTAAAAGCAGAAACTAATTCTTCTAATATCTAATACCCCATTCTGTTGCTTAAACAGGGCGAATACTGTTTATTTTTGTTTTTAAAATTTTTATTTATTTATTTATAGAGACAAGGTCTCACTGTCGTCCAGGCTGGAGTGCAGTGGTATGATCACAACCCACTGCAGCCTCAAACTCCTGAGTTCAAGCAGTCCTCCTGCCTCAGTCTCCCAAGTAGCTGGAACTACAGGCTCGCACCACCATGCCTGGCTAGGACATATACTCTTAATGATTGACAAGTAAACAAGCAAACATAAAATGACTCTTTCATCTGAATTCTGCCTAGTTTACTAATTACATGACTTCAGTCTTAAGGAGCTTGGAAAAGGTTATCTTACAAACACATTGGAGCCTGTATTGTGTTCCAAGGACTATTGTAGGCGCTTTATATAAATGATCTAATTTAATCCCTATAACTACTCATCAGTAAGTTACCTATTATTTTCATTTTACTGATGAGGAAACTGACATTAGTACTTTTTTTCTGTTTATTTTGTTTAAAGGCATTTTAAATATGTATGTTAAGAAATTTTCAAAAGCCTTTGTTTTACTTTTTATGAGCCTTTATTTACTATTTGAGACAGCGTCTTTCTCTGTCACTCAGGTTGAATGCAGTGGCGCGATCCCGACTCACTACAACCTCCACCTCCTGGGTTCAAGCTATTCTCCTGCCTCAGTCTCCCAAGTAGCTGAGATTGCAGGTGTGCGCCACCATGCCAGGCTAATTTTTGTATTTTTTAGTGGAGACGGGGTTTCACCATGGTGTCCAGGCTGATCTCGAACTCCTGACCTCAAGTGATCCACCTGTGTTGGCCTCCCAAAGTGCTGGAATTACAGTTGTTGGTTACTGCACCCGGCCAGTTTATAATTTTAAACATTAAAATAAATGCTTCTTGTCCAGTCATGGTGTGTCACACCCATAATCCCAGCACTTTGGGAGGCAGACGTGGGAGGATCACTTGAGACCAGGAGTTTGAGACCAGCCTGGGCAACATGGTGAATCCCTGTCTCTACAAAAAATATGAAAATTAGCTGGGCATGGTGGTGTATGCCTGTAGTCTCAGCTATTTGGGAGGCTAAGGTGGGAGGATCATTTGAGCCCAGGATGTTGGGGCTGCAGTGAGCTGAGATCACATCACTGTACTCCAGGCTGGGTGACAGAGCAAGACCCCATCTCAAAAAAAAAAAAAAAAAAAAAGAAAAACTTCTTCTACCAATACAAACACAAAACAAGCATAGACAAATAGAGTTTAAAGAACATCATGGGTGTTTTCCTGTAAAGGGAAGATTGATGCTAGGCTAAGAAAATCCTGGAGTTATTCTTGAGGACCTTAAGGAATAATTTAAATGTAGGATTTGCTCCTGGCTTTCTTGTCCTGTATTCAAAATAAAACCAGAATGGATTGAATATATTCTGAGTGTTCTGGCTGTTCTAGTGCTCTCTGAAGTGAGTACTCATTATGTTTCACTTCCCTTTCATCCTAAAGAGGAAAAGTTCTTTTGAAGAAGGCTATTTGTCCTAGGTTAGTCTCCACAGTCAGATCATTATCTCCTCCTAATCTTCGATCCTGTTCAGTCTCTATGGCAGTTTCCCTTATAATAACACTCTCCTTTTTAAAGCGATTTACCTTTTTTTGTGTGTAATATTGTTCTCCTGTTTTTCTGGCATCATGGTCCTCTTATAATATCCTATGCAAATGTTTCTTTCTCACTGTTTTTCATGTTGACTCTGCTAATTGAGGTCTTTGTTACTCTTTAGCCCAGACTATTATAATTTCTCCAAAGATATCCCCTCTCCCTGGTGCTCGTTGTTGCTTTCAATGCACAGTTTACAAATTATTGTCTGCGTACAAATTGTTGACTGCGAACACATCCTTCAGTCTGGAATACCTTTCTGGACTTCTTTACTAGGAAATAAAGAGCAGACTCAGTGTAACATTCAACACTATCAAAGATCTTGATATTTAGTATGAAATTTTTTTTTGAAGCAGATCAATAAAGTTTTTATACCCATTTTTAAATCCTCCAAGAAACTTAGGCGACAGCCGAAACACTGAGAGTCAGAAACATCTTTCCCTACATGATCTTAGGTGAACAGAACTTTCCTTTAATGAGCAGTAAGATAAGTGAGGGTAGTTAAAGGCCTTCAGTAACATTGTCTGTTATTTCTTCTT